GGGGGGGGGTTGGCGAATTTTGGTTAATAAGACATTACACAGCAGTGGGTTGCAGCCTCACCATAAGCCATGGGCCTTTATCGTAGTGCAAAATGAGATACCTTACCAAGCCACAATTTCAATAGAATCAATAAATCTCTATTGGACATTAGAGTTGGACATTTTTGTTCCGTGGTGCGGAACAACTTTTGGTCTACAAGCCTTTAATATAGTAAGGCTCTGTCATCACATAGAGGAAGTGGCGGGAGGTGCAACACAGGCCGTAATTTTGCACGTTAGTACAAAATATATTTTACTTACAAATGAATGTGCGCAAATCATTGTCTCCGTGGTACAGGTGATTAATCCCCCACCTACACCTTTGTTCATTCACTCATTTATTTAATTGTAAAAAGAGAGAGAGTGAGTGTGTGAGTGAGTGAGTGAGGGGGCTTTGAGTGGGTATACACCTTCACCTTTCTCCACGTTCTTTTTTTAATCGAATGGCCTGTTATTTCTTTGTTTCTCAAGGAGCGAATGCAATCGGTGGAGCGATGGATAAACAGTATCCCAATGGATGTGCCCATATTCGTGCAGACCTCACTGACCCAAATCGTGCCCATCACTGACCCCAAATCCTTTCCCGATGAGCTCTCCGTCTCTGACCATCTTCCCTCTGCCACCAATAATAGTGCTGCTGATAGCTCCCGTGGTATGTTTCGCGAAAATTTCACCCTTTTTATCTAATATTTCGTGCTCAGTTCGTGCTGCCAAACTCCATCGATTGAAAAGTTTTGAGAATGCGCTTTTATTTCTCTTGAGTGCCATACACCTTTCGTTTCTAAGGCTGCACCATTAGATCTACCACGGATTGAGAAGTATAAGGTTATCAATTCGTGTCGCTTGCCATTCTTAATGCATTTTGATTTGCACCTTTAGTGCTTTCTCCTAATTAAATTACAACTGACTCCTGATCAATGGTTAAGTTTCTGAGTGATTCCCCGAATATTTCCTTAATTTTTTGTACCAATATTGATTTATTCCCTTTGGATTGCAAGTCATGCCTCTATGCTTTCGCTGATTGATTATTGCTTTGTACTCACCTCTTTCTTGAGAATTCAAACTTCACCTGTAAAATCAAATGGCACGTCGAATGCAGTGCAAACGCCCTAGTCGTCCATTCCTTCTCTCAGTTTTCTCTTGAATCCTTACTGTTTCCTTCTTCAAAATTGCTAAAACAGTCCTTGTCTTCTGGTACCTGTCCACTTTCACTTTATTTTGTGGATATTTTTTTAGTATATTTACTTTGAAAATATCATTCTGAAGCACTACATCTTAGTCACTTGTCATTTGTAAGAATTGAAATGTCCATAAGTGAGGTTTTCAGTGGCATTCGAGTTCATTGCTCTTGTGTGCATCAAGAACGTTACACTTTTGGAGTTCGTTTCTGAAGTCGTGAAGCATTATTTATTTATTTCAAATGGCAGGCGTTTTGATAGATATCATTAGTCATTTAGTTGACTTCGGGATTCACAGAGGGAAGGTTCATCAAAGTAG